CCTAGTGAAAATCTATCGTCTCTTGGTATTGGTGATCGTGATTTAAAGGTTCAATCAGATCGTGATACAACTGTAACCACAACTGGCACTGCATTGAATACAAATGCTGGTTTATCGAAAACAATTGATGATTATGGCAAAAGCGAATTTGAATGGGGAGATGATAAAAACGAAGGATTATTAAAACGTACAGCTGAAAAATTAATTAACTTTGACATGACGCCAGTTGCACAAGCATTAGCTCGACATTTGGGAATTGATTTGTCTACTGATGGAGCACAGGCTAGAAATAGACGAGGTGTGGCAATTATTGTGCACGGACCACCATGTTCTGGTAAATAAAGGATTCTGTTTCTACTATTGTTCGTCTGTTTCTAAGTTAGTTTTTCTCATTCAAGGTAAAACAACAATTGCTAAAGAACTATCACAGCGTTATGATTGTGCTCTATTAAATCTCGATGATATAATAACAGAAGCAATTAACTCACCTAATCGTAGTGAAGCAGCTACACGAGCATATCAATTATGTCGGGACGCAATGGAAAAGCATCTGGAAGAACAAAAATTAGCAGAAATTGATAGTGAACATGTAGCTGCACAGTCAGGTATGGAAGATACTATAAATGAGTACACGTACGTAACTAACTCAGCTTTATTCTACAATTAGTCACAAAATCCAGAGTGCCTTCTTGTAGATCCACTTTATACATAACCAGAAATTCGTAAGATCCGCCTAAACCCATGTTTAAAGAGTATTGAAAGTTACCCAAACTTGCTCACCCATCTGTTCTTCAGCTAATTAATGAACTGGTTTTCGAGACTCATTTTTGATTTTTATAACTTGAGGGCGTGAAAATTTTGCGTCAGATATTTTTAACAAACGTTAATCAATCGATCAGTCCTACGGAAGCTTTGAATTTCTTTCCCGAACTATTCCACAGGTGGATTTTTTCAGAAATCTACAGAAAAATCTGAATCACAAGTGAACGTTATAAGGATAAATAGAATTAAAACATGAGGCATTTTGATGCTGAGTAAAACATTTTTTCTATCGAATAAAATAAGATTTTCATAGATCTAACTCTATCTCGTAGAAATATGTAAGAAAAAAAAATGCTGGTGTAAATAATGTTTTGAATACTTCAAACAAAATGCTAGCTGATGCATACTTTTCTTGCATCGCCTTGAGTATATCCATTTATTCTTGGTACAGTCATCCAAATGAAACATTCACGATCAGAATCAGGTGGATCACGTTCATCAAAATCAACTCGTAGATCAAAATTGTCTGAATCCGTAAAAACAGCAAAAATACACAGAACAATGTCAAATGGAAGGTCATTAACCATTTCCGCGAAGAAACCAATAAAAAGTGTATCCGAAAACTCCACGCAGGATGGATCGCATAGTGAATGAATCTTATACTTCAGTTATTGTTCACTAAGTTTTGTTTGCGTGCTAAATTTATGCTCATACGTTTTGTAACAGTTATTTTTTGTGCAATTTAAATCTTAAGTTTTATTTGAACGGATTATTTTGAGATAATTATTCTCCTTTCTAGGAGCTCATCCAAAAAAAGGTCAAGAAAAAAAGAAGAAGACAGAAGTAGATTTAACAGCACAAATCGTATGTCTCGCGATTATACCGCTAATTATACGACTCTAAAATTTTCTTGTTGTTGTTTAAGGCATCCGTTGAGCCTCAACATTTAACATCACCTGTATCAACAAAATTTAAAATTCGAAAATTTGACGATGAAAATAGTGAAGAAGAATTGATGACATTCGTTTTAACGGAAGATATATTTGTGGAAATTATAGCCACACGATTACAGGTATTCAACAAGATATTTTTTATCTTATAAAAAGTGAAATGATTATTCTCATTTTAGAGACCAGACTGTGCTCGTGGCATCATATTTGATGGTTTAGATACACAATTTCTACAAAACACTGTTCAAACTACAATCAGTTTATTGAAGGCCATTAATAATCGTTCATATATGTTTGCAATACTGACAAACTTTAGTTATGCCAAATACAAAGAAGCGCAAACAAAAGCAGACGAAATGAAACGTATGTCGAAATGGCAAAAATAGTTCTGTTTTGATATTAGTGGTTTTTTTTTGTTTCTACTGAATTAGGTTTGGAAGAGCTTGCACGAGAACAAAATGAAAAAGAATTTATTGAAGAGATGAACGAAGACGAATATGATGCGTTGCCCGATGAAGAAAAGCAACGAATCGATCTTAAACGCCTCCAGCGGAAAAAGGAACGTTTACAAAGGTAGTAATGTCGATAACTTTTTGTATTGATAAAGAACTTTATGGACGGTGTATTATTATTATTCTAGAGAACAAAAGGAAAAAGAAGAACAAGCGCGTTTGGCACAAGAACGTTTGTTACAAGCCGAAACACAGTATGTTTACTCAGAAGAGAAGGAAAGTTCATTTAAATATGTGTATGAACTTTTAGAAAAAAGAAAAAACCTGGTCCTGGTGGTAAACCAACGCTTGCTGTCGGAGGTGATAAAGGTGCAACCGCTAAAACTAGTGCCCGTCCGCAATTACCAAGTGCAAGGCCAACATTAACAGATAGACCAGGAACAAGAAACGAGGGTTCTGACGAAGCAGAAAAGTAAATGTGAAAGTAATATCATACTCTTTTTCTAAGTAATCGCTCTCTTATTATTAGGAAAAAAGTGATAAAAACAGAATTAAAATCAGCTAAGGAAGTTATCAAAGAAGAAGAGTCAGTTATTCTAAAAATAGCTGATCCAGAAGAGGACAAAAAGAAAGAAAAAGATCGAGAATTACAAATCAAGTAAGTAACTGCGAAAGCCTTTTATCCATAGTTAGTTAGCGATTGTGAACTAGCCGACTTAATGATTATAACTGAATAATACTTGTGTCTGTATCAGAACGCAATACTTAACATTAATTAATAGTTCCAGACTTATGTTTTCTATGTTTTTTTTTCACTTACTTAGATTCAAAACATTTGAGTTCTATCGTAATGATGTAGTGAATGTATTGGATTTATGGGATCGGACAAAAGGAATGACAAAGAGTCCACCAACACCAACGAATCAATTGGAAGATGAACAGGCCATGGCTGGTGCTAAGAAGGGTGTACAGAAGAAAGATCGAGGTAAAGAACAGAGTGCTTTTATCACTTCTTTTTATAATTAATTAAATATCGGCTGGAGTTGAGTTGTTACTGAGAATAGCTTAAATAAATAGCTTAAATCTTCGATTCGAATAAATATTCAGTAAATAGTTACGGTACTTATCAATCACTCCTATTCCTACACTTTAATGTGATGCTTTGTTTCATTATAACAAATATTAGTTAGCTTTTAAAAAAGCTCAATCAATAATATCATGTTTCTGACTGCTCGAATGAACGCTACAGCTATCAGCTTCTTTGATTCGTTTTTTTGCACACGCATTTAGTCATATTAAATCGTTTTACTATTTTCCGTGCTATCATTATCGTATCCTTTGCAGGCAAGAAAGGAGACACAAAAGAAAAAGAGAAAACTGACCGAGCAGAAGATGTACAATCATCTCTTAATCAAGCACAACAACCATCAAGTATAACGCCAACAAATATCGTGAGTACTTCCTGTTAACTTTTATCGTATTTATGCCCAGGAAGAATCAATACGATTGTTATTTCAGGATGAAAATGGTCAGTTGCTGAAAGATGAGAAAAAAGTTCCGGAAGAAATCGTTAATGTACCCATCATCAATGTTGATACCCCTATTGATTACAGCCCTAACAGTCCATTACCATCAGAGGTGTTAGACTCGGTTCATCGAAAACTTCCAAATCTTGATCAAGTATGCATTAATAATTCCAGTTCGTCTGACTTTTTGCTAACTATTCCAATCTTTTTTTTAAATTAGATACTTGACGGCATGGGTTTAGGACCGAAAGGTAAAATGCGGATAATTATACCCTTCTAAATCGATTAATTCAATTTCATTAATTCAATACTGTAGGACCACCAATTCCAAAGCCATTCGAATTCGCGGTTGTACCATTTCCAGTTCCAAGAAAAAATCCGCCATGTGCTGAATATGGACAATACTTTTTTGTTGCTACATCTGAAAATGATCCGTTAGTGTACCTGAGATACGGAAGTTAACTCATTTATGACTATTATATTTCTTTAGAAATATATATGCCGATGAGAAGTTAAGTTCAAAAACTCCAGAACCATCCGGTGATGATGATCATAAAGATACAGGAACAGGACCCAAAGGAAGACGTAGCAGAGGTATGTAGTTGAAACGTTTCTCTGTTCTGTTACTTATGACGATACTTTTCTTAAAGGTGAACGTGAGACAACAACAGCAGGTAAAAGAAAAACAAGTGGTGGCCCTGGAGCAAGTGTAGATAAATCAGGTAGCCGTGCTCGTGATGGAAAAGGTGGTCGTGCTAGTGGAAAACAATCACCAACGACTCATTCGCATGATGGACTTGATGGTACGAGTGATGCGAGTGGCGATAAACTAATGCCAAAGTAATCTAGACGTCTAAATATTGCAACATTCTTATAACGTATTTTTTCGTCATTATTTAGAATTGCTCGATTTCGTTGGATAATACCAGCAAATGGTGATATTCATGTTCGCATGCGCTTTGTGTCATCTGAGGTTGGACAATTTGATCAAACAATAACGTTTGAGGTTGTTGGCACACGAAGAAACTATAAAATATTTTGTCGTGGAATTTGTACATTTCCAAATATAAGCAGAGAACCACGGTAAGGATAAACAAATAATATTTTTATGTGTTAAATTACACTTAAGCTATGTTTTTATTAGAATTGTATTTCCGAATCGACAAAAGTCAAAAAAATTGAACGAGATTGTTCACAAAAAATTTATTTTATCCTCTGAACAGTACGATTTTGGACCATTGGTACTTGGAAAAGATACAAATAAGTATGCCATCTCGTTAATCTTATTTATTCTCAGTTAGCAACGAGAGACCAACCAATTCGTTAAGTTCTAAGACTGCAGCGCTTGTTTAAGAGAATTTTCTTCTTCTTTTTGTAGAATTCGTGCGGGTATTTATCCTAGTAATTTAGAATCAATCACAATTTCAAACACATCTCCAATGGATGCCGACATATTGTTTTGCTTTCTAAACGAGGTTGAAGTTTCCAAAGTAGCATTTTTTATTGAACCAACAGAAATGGTTTTGAAACCCGGTGAATTAAGGGTAATATCTCTTGCTGACTTTACTTTGTGTCTTCTAGCTCTATACATGCCATTTAGACATTAAAAATAATGGCTAATCCACCTCGTGAAGGCCACTTTGAAGAATCTCTCGTTTGTTGTATTAAAGAAAACCCAGAACCAATTATTTATAAATTATGCTGCGATGGTTGTACGCCTGATTTAATTGTCGAACCAAATGTATTCGATTTTGGACAAGTACTTTTATATAGAAAAGAATCTCGTATTGTTCGATTAAAAAATCAAAAATTAATTCCTGTTCGATGGCGTCTATCTGGCATTGGTCAGGATGGTATCGGCCAAGAATTTTCAACGAAAACTGATACGGGAGTAGTTGAACCATTAACAACATACGATTTACAATTAAATTATTACGCGAGCAGACCACGAACACCTCAATCACAAAAAGCTAAAATGCAATTAAAATTAGAAGTAAATAAGAGATAAATAGTGATATATTAATATACTTATGAGAAATTTTTCTTTAGATATCGGATGTTGAAGGTATGCCAGGTGCAATTCGTACAGTTAATTTACCAGTATTTGTTGAACCCTACGATATTGTATTGGATATGACATTTCAAAAAGGAAATGATCGAGGAATTGATTTTGGCAATGTCAGAGTTAATCAAGAAGCGAAACAAATTTGTACATTAAAAAATAAAGGAAAACGAGAAATACGTTACAGGTACAGAATGTATATAATCAATTAGTTTCGACTATTCCATTGTTCTGGTATTTCTTTCAGATTTGAGTTGATTCCAGATCCAAAAACAAGTATAGATGCAAGTAAATATTTTGAAATTGTGCCAAAACAAGGAACATTGCCAGCTGTAGCCGATAGAAATGCTCAAGCAACGTCTGTTACGGTAAAACTTGCTTGTTTATTCTTGTTGTAAATGGTTTTTTGCGAAAGAGCACGGAGTGTTATAGTATTGCTAACAGATTGAAATGTTCTATACACTTTTTTGAAAAGAACAATCACACGTTATCATAAAAAGATTTAGAGTAGAGTATATAGAATGGCAGTTATAAAACAAATTTTTGGAAGTAATTTAAACATTATCAGAGCAGAGAAATATGCATAACTCATTATTCAGATAAAGTAATGATACAAGATAGGTCGTTAACTTCCTTTACCAATCTGAGTCACTCAAATAAAAGCTATTTTAAGGTTCTAGACCGATATTTCAGATTCTAATCGAATCAGCATAAAGCAACTTTTTGAATTATAGTCTGAATACTAAGACTTCTTATAGTTCATGTTTATTCTATTTAGATTATATTCAAACCGACAAGTGAAATAAATCTTCGTGATGCTGAGATGATTGTTGTCAGTGTTATTAATGTTGCTTCACCACCAAAAATCGACGAAAAACCTTTGGGAAAAGATTTAGCATCAACTGCACATGTCGCTACATCACAGAGTACATTAAAAGGTGGAACAAGTGAACTTGGTCGTGGTACAGCCGTTCCTCCGGTTCCACCGGTACCCGTAGCTCCGCCAATTGAAGAAGAAGTAGCTCGAATTCGATTGAAAGTATCAGCTAAAGCAACATACAGCAAGTATGACTTAACGTTAAAACTATTTAGCTCAAAATAATTGTAATCACTTAATTTAATTGAAGATTTGCAATAATACCAAGTCAAGAAGTAAATTTTGGACCAATACCATTTGGTGTGACACGTCGTTTAGAAAAATTTATTATTGAAAATCGTGGTGAATTTGACTTTAAATATGTTTTATCAAAATATATTCGAGAAACATCACCACAAAAAATGAATATCAAGTAAGCTATTTATTTAATTAGTTAACATTTTCAACTAATGTTTTGTGTGTTCTAATTATACTAGAAAAATCTCTCATTCTTCTTTCTGTTTTACAATAGAGATAGTAAAAAACTTTCTCCTCCTAATCGTGCTGAATCAGCATTAAGTGCAAAAACACGAAAAGTTGAATCAATAAGGTATTGTACTTTACTAATAATTAGCCAGTCACATATACATCTAGCACAAAACACATAAAAATTCACCAAAGTTCTAGAAATGACAAGCATACTACAAAAAAACTAAATTCACTTTCAAGTTTAAATGACAATAGTACGAGTAACTTATTCAATATATTAAATAAAAATAAAACAGCTAAATTACGCAAGTACTACACTAAATCGCATGGCTAAAGTTATTTTTTTGCGATGTTTTTAATGCATGCACAATGTTTTCAACATGTTGGCAAACAATTTTAAGTTAAAATAATTTTTACAGATTATTTATTGTTGTTGAAGTTGTGTGAAACACTTTCAATACAATTGTGCTTTCAATCATAACAATATCTGTCAGTGAGCGTCCGCTAACTACGAAAGGAGACTCTATTCTGACTTTGACATCTCTAGACAGTTTTTCAATGAAATATGGAAAGAAAAAAAATTGAAAGCAGAAATTAGTTCCTTACTATAATTAAAGTGCAATTTTATTCTGTATTTTAAGCTAAAACATTCCAACCAACTTACTAGGTTTTTAATTTGTTAAGGCTATGCTTGACTATAGTATGGAAAAAGAATTTTTTTTAAATTTATCTTCTTATTCTTTCTTTAAAGAGACGTACCAACTCAAGGACGTTTACAAGTTGGACCATTTATATTGACACCAGCATTTGGTATGTTACTACAAGGCGGTAATACTACTGTGAATATAGAATATAGTCCCGATGCTGATACGGCAAAAAAATACGAAGAAGTAATAATTTTCTAGTTCTAAATCGTCTTTTACCTCCTTCATAACTCTTCATATTTTATAAGGAAATTTTAATTGATGTTGCTGATAAAAATCCATCGGAATATCCCAATGGTATTATTTATAAGCTAAGAGCAGAATTAATTGTACCACAAATAGATACAACTGATGTTGGATCAATATTCGAAGAGCATAGAATTGTCAAAAATCTATCATCGTTTCAACATCAAAATGAGGTAGGAATGATCATTTTTCCATCTTGCTTATTTTATTCACAAATAAACATTGATCTTACATAGTTGATGAATGGTGGTGTATATGGTGAAGATGAACGTCGTTTTGTATTTCGTAATGTTATTGTTGGTCGTACATCAAAAGCTCGATTCAAAATTATGAATACTCAAAAGGTATTAAATAGATGAGCCTACATTTAACTTAACCGACTTTTTATTTTATTAAGGTTGCTGTTGATGTTGTATTTGGCTTACGTTCAGCATCAAAATCCCAAAAGATTCCTGATGTATTTGAAATAGATCAACATCGTATACAAATTCCTCCATACAGTTCACACCATGTCACAGTATCATTTACACCAATAGCAATGCAATCTTATTCCATTTTTTTTGAGGCTAATATTGAAGGATTACCAAAGACAAAAGAAAATCGTACACAAAATTTATCCTTTGAATTGTTTGGTGAAGGAAATTTACCACGAATTTCAATTTTAAAACCAAATATTCGAAATAAAAAAGCACAATGTATCATGATGTTTAAAAAATTATTAATTGGAAGACAAGCAACACAACAATTATGTTTAGTCAATGATGGATTATTACCTGCTAAAGTATGTCATATTTCACATGTCAAAAATTGTATTAATAACTCACGTATAACTAACTCGTTTTCAAAATTTTAATTAACTCCCAATTCATTTTGTTTATCATATCACAATATCTTTCTTTCTACTCGTCCCAGAAGTTTGCGATCTTTCATTTTCTAACATTGCTTTTCTAGAAAAAATTCACATCAATAAAATAAAAATTTATTATGATATTTAAACTGTTTTTAGCTTGATTTCTACCTTCATGATGTTGAAAATGTTTATTCGTTACAACCATCACCCGAAAATGAACGTCCCGAAAGTCTTGTTATTAACGATCCAACAAAGAAAGCGACAATCGCTTCAGCCATATTTGAAATAGGCCAAAAAATTGTGTTAGATGTAGTATTTAAACCAAAACAAGTTCAACGGTATGAGGGTGTATTACGTTTAGTTGTTGTTGATAATCAATATGAGGATACGGTGGTACAGTTAATTGGAGAAAGTTACTTGGATGATATTACATTGGATAATATACACAGTTTAGCTGTACAAAATGAGCCGAGTGAAGAAGCTGTTATTGATGAAGATGCACCAGGTGAGTTGATCAACGATATTCTATTGTCTTCACTCATTGGTTTTTAATATATGTTTTAGTACCGTTATCGAATTTAATTAATTTTGGCGATGTTCACTTAAATGACTCTCGTCAAATATTATTTTCAATAACAAATCATAATTCAAAAGATTCTATTCGTTTTGAATGGCCTGAACATCCACAATTAACATTTTCACCACGTATAGGTCATTTACACAGCAATTGTACAAAAGATATTCATGTTAATTTCAAAACAACAAAACCTGTTCAATTAATAAAAGAAAAACTTTTATGTACATTAACTAAGATAACATTTGATAGACCAATCAATGAAGTACCTGATTGGGACGATAGAATGCGTTCGATCAAGTGGTCTGATGTACCACAACAGCAAACGACAACTACTGATTCTATCAAGTAAGATAGCTAGTTTGTTATGTTTGATGATATATTAAAACTTTTTTTTGCTCTTGAATAGTCTATCTGAACAATTCGCAACGTCGCGTACTCGACCAGCTCGTCAAAAAACAATTGAACAAGAACTAGAACCAATTAATCAACGTGTCGATGATCAACAACGTTCCGTTGATTTACATGTATCAGCTATTGCCGATTATTGTCGATATAAATGTAGTGAACATGAAATTAGATATCTAGATACGGCTATGTTACAAACAAGAGTACAAGAGTATGTCGCATTGTGTTTATTTCTTGTCTTATTAACACAGCCTAATGAGAACAAAATAAGTAGGACAAAGAAAAAAAGCGTTAGCTTAGAAACAGATTTCTACATCAGAATTGAATAATATTTTAAAATTTCAGAGTAACAATAACAAATCGGGGTAAAGTACAATTGAATTATGCATGGAAAATTCAAATGGAAGATAATCAACGTCCATTTACGCCATTGATCGAACGTGATCCACCAACGCCAGAACCGACAAGTGAAGGTGGAGGACGAAAGACAGCAGGCATCGGAGGTCAACGTGGTGTAACTAGAACAGGAACGAGCAGTGCACAATCATTCGATTCAAATATAGATGCTGGTTCATCAATCAAATTAGCAAAAGACAAAGATGCTAGTAAATCGAAAGAAGCGTTACGAGCATCAAAAGAATCAGCGGCAAAATGTAAGACATTTATTTACTGTATCTATAGTTTTAAAACAGATAGTTGTAGAATAGTTAGTATTTTATACATTAGTTGTAAATGTTTCGGATTATTTCAAAGTCATTTTTCTTGTGACTTCAGCTCGCTCATCTTCGATTCGTGAAGAAAAATCAAAAATAACTCGTTCAAATTTACAAACAGATAATTTAATTGAGGAGAAAGAAGGTGGTAGTGAACCTTTTTTTACGGAAACTAGTAATCTTGAACCATCATCGGTGATGCCACAACGTATCGATTCTCCAACGAGTACAATTCATCCTCAGAGTATAATGAGTGAAGTTGGTTACGTACCTTTTCAAGTTGAACCAGATAGCGGTACAATAGCTATAGGATCGAGTCAAATATTCAAAATTAAATTTTCACCATTGGATGTAAATGATTATCAAGCAAGATTAACATGTTGGTACGTCTTTCATGGCACGATGCAAATTTGTTGATCTAGATGTCATTTTGTTTTAGTATTCCAAATTTGGAAAGTAGTAAAGCTGGTCCCGTGGTAGCTGTTCGAGGTCGAAGTATATTACCCTTTTGTCATTTTGAATTAGACGAATCTGATTATATTACTTCTGGACGACGACGAACAGATTTACCCGGACTGAATATGGCACCACCAGGAACAATGATCGATCGAAATACGAGAATTATTGAATTTAAATCTGTTGGAGTTGGATCGAAGATAAACAAGTAAGAATGAATCAATTTGGTGATCCGATGTTAACATTTTATCTATTTTCATTCGTATTCATAGATCATTTAATGTGTTAAATCCAACTGACACTGACTATTCTTATCGTTGGATATGTGAAGATCCATTAGATTTAACGAAACAACCAACATTTATTTGTCGAGCAACACAAGGAAAAATTGCATCGGGAAAGGGGACAATAGTAAGTTCAATCTATTGGTTCAGTAGTAGGATAGACAAAATGAAAACAATATAAACAGTAGTGTTTATTACTTTTTGTACTATAAAGGATCTATGACGAGTTTCTTAATCATGTCTTCCGAGAATTTGTGTAAAAAAGTTATTTTCTTTGTGTTTAGATGTCATTTGATTTTATGCCACGTCAATTTGGATTATGTGAATCATTTTATCGTTTTGAAATTCCCCATCATTCCCTATCTGTTCCATTCTTGTTAGTTGGTAATGTTAGTGAACCAAACGTGTTATTAGATCGTTCTCATGTATCATTTCATCCACAAATAATTGGTCATTATTGTGAAGAAACAATATATATGATTAACAAAGAAGATCGTTCATTTTCATATGATTTTCTTGATCAATCTTTAATTGAAGGTACAACGACTGGTGATTTAACTGTTGAACCAAAATCTGGTCAAATACAAGCACAGGCTCGTCAACCAATTCGTCTTATATTTCGTCCAACACAAAATCGTTCATATCTATACAACTTACAATGTAAAATCGACAGTTCCATTAAACAACCGTTAACTCTAAATGTAAAAGGAGAAGGTTTTTCAAATTTGTGTTCGTTACAATGTGAAGTGGCAGATGGATCTAAAATAGAATTATCATCCGTTGGCATGAATGAATTAAGATTTGATTCAATTGTTTTAAATGAAATATCATCTAGAACATTTGAAATAATAAATCGGGGAAAATATTCGTTTGATTACGAATGGACATTTAGCAATAATGAAAATGATGATAATTTATTTTTATTAACACCGATGACGGGAAATGTACAATGTAGTCAAAGAACAAATTGTCTTTTAGGTATGTATTATCTGTTGATATATGATCCGTAAATAGTGCATTATAATCGTAGTAGTTTTTACTTCATGCTCTTTTCGCTAACTTTCAATAGAAAATTTATTTCCTGAGTGAGAGAAAACTATCACACAAAACCAGACCGACTTTTGCATAAAAATCGATGTAAATTTTATTTTTATTTTTAGAATTTCGTCCAAAAACAAAAGAACATCGTTTTGTACAACGTCAGTTACAGATGAAAGTAGTCAACGGTCCAACCTATCAGATTTGTTTGGTTGGTCATTCAACTGTACCAAATGTTCAATTTTCATTTTTAAACTACGATTTTGGTCCATGTTTCTTGTATAAAGCTGGTATGCCCGAATATTCTGTTGAATTAGAAATATCCAATCAAGATATGAAAGATCATTCCATCGAATGTTTATATCAAAACACATCTCATTTAATGTGCGATTACAAAACAAATTTATTACAATCAAAAGAAGCAAATAAATGTCTAATAACATTTTATCCAAGAGAATACAAACAATATCAAGAACAGATACAATTTGAAATTGATGGTTTAACATTGATTAATGTTAGTGTTACTGGCGAAGGAGTCGAATTTAAAGTAGAAGTAGCTGATTCAAAACAAAAAATTGTTAATCTAGGTAGACACTTTTAAATATTATATTTCAAAAGATTTTTTAAAATGGTTTATACATACTCAGTGATATTTCAGCGTAGATAAAACCATAGAATGTATTGATGATTAATCGGTAACTAATCTAATTAATTTATGACAGATGATATCTTTAGCAAGAAAACAATCTTTACATGAAAAGTAGATTTCTTTTTTCAGTAAATTTTGTTAAATTTAAATTTCTCACACGCGATATATTAATGGTCTATTATTTTATTTCAGGTGCTCTTCAGTCAGGCAAAACAGTCACGAAAGATGTTTCCATTATAAACCGTAGTCGTGCACCGTTAAATAATTGTTTACTATCATTATCAAATCAATATTTATATACTCATCCAAATGTGCTTCAAATTCAACCAACAATGCCTTTATCATTGCGAGCTAAAAGTGGAACAGCAACCGTTCAAGTAAAATTTTCACCTAAATCTCGTATACCATCGTTCAGTGAACAAGTTTATTTGAAATATGGTGAATTTGATGTACCAATGTTTGCTGTTAAAGGATGTTGTCAAGGTTATGATATTCAGTTAGATACGGATTCAATTCCGTTTGGTGCTGTCGTTAAAGAATGTTCAATAACAAGAAAATTAGTCATGTCTAATCGTGGTGATATTGGTTCACGTTATCAATGGAATACGAGCCAAATTAAAGACAAACCATTTCAAATTTCACCTACAAATGGGTACATATCGCCAGGAATGGAAATCACTTTCGATCTGACATTTCATCCAAAAGAAATTAAACAAGATTTAAGATGTGATAAATTTGAATGTACATTAGAAAATTGTAAACCGTTGCAAGTCACGCTATGTGGATCATGTGTGGAAGTACAACCCATACGAGAACCGATTGTCATTAGTACACCTGTTCGATCAAAAGAAACAGGAAGACCAATTACAATTAAAAATCCGACCAATACGCTCTGGACATTAACACCCGTTATTAGTGGAGAATACTTTTCAGGACCGGAAACAGTTATTGTTGAACCACAAAGTACGAGAAACTATGAAGTCACATATCTACCGTTATCCGAAGGTAATTGATCACCCAACATTACAAATTTCTCATTTTGTCTTTCGAAGGTTAAGTAGTCTCTTAACTAGCAAAAATATTTAATTTTCAGGTAAACATACGGGTACAATGTTTTTTCCTCTACCCGATGGAAACGGTCTGTTATACAATCTGATTGGTAATGCTGAACCTCCAAAACAATCTGGTAAAATTATGCGTGAAATTCCATGTAAAACTCAATATGTTGAATTACTGTCTGTTGAAAACTGGTTGAAGAAACCGCAACGTTTTCGTTGTACAATCGAAACGGTAAAGCAAGATCGCCAAGATGCAAATACTGTTATTAAAGGATTAGAATATATAGATGTAGCTCCAAGATCAAAACGTGATTATAAATTAAATTTCTACGCATATAAGGAATGTGTTCAACAAATAAAAGTAACGTTTAAAAATGAACAAAGTCAAGAATATATCTGGTTCGATATAACATTTAAATGTACGATAGATAAAAAGAATTCGGCAGTGGGAACAATTGACATTACAACATCAGTTAGACAACAAACCACCTACGACATTCAATTAGATAATCCATTGCAACAAAAAGTGACATTTCAGGGAACTTGTAATAATCCAGACATATTAATACCTCCAGATACCGTTTCTGTACCAGCAAATTCACAGGTAGAAGTCGAATCTATTTGTTTTCTCCCTGATGAACTAATGTATTGTCTTTCATTTTAGGGGATATTCAATTTTACATACATGCCATTGAAATCTGGTAAATATGAAAGTCGTTTAGAGATAACATGTGCTGAGCTTGGTCTCTACACGTATATATTGAATTTAAATGCCTTACCAGCTAAACCAGAACGTCCATTATATTTCAAAACACATCTCGGTAGTTCACAAACATTAGTTGCCAAATTTATGAGTTATGCAAGATCAAAAACCGATTACATTTGTAAAGTAAGTTATTCTGTACAAAAGACAATATTCCATGTTTGCACACATTTTATATTTAGATTGATCATCCTGATTTTATTGTCGATCGAACAGTGACAGCTGCTCCCGGATCTTCTCCGTCGAATATGGAAGTAAATGTTGATGTTACTTATGAACCATCCCAGTTAGGTGAAATTCGTGCTAATTTGACAATAAGTTCAACAGTTGGAAGTGACTATGTCTTTCCATTATACGCCACCGGCGAAACTCCAAAACCCCAAGGACCAATCACAATTCGAGCGGGTAGTAACGTTACAGTAACATTTAAAAACGTTTTTGCTCAAACTCTTACCTATACATTCAATGTTGATAATCCACTATTTCATGTTCATAAAACAACTGAATTGATACAAGCAAGAAAATCTCATCGAATTGTCGTTGGTTTTGATGGTTCAGATACACCGCAGAAGGCGGATGTAATGGCTAAACTTGTTGTATCATGTCCAAAATCGGCTGGTATGAATACAAGTGTACAATGGGTCTACTATTTAAAGGGAATTACACCTTGATAGTTTGCGCTCAAACCTCAGATAGTCACAATACAGTGAAATCGACTTATCCAATCCCGTTTTTCTTGTTGTTGTTTAACGTTAATTTGATTATTCATTTTGTTTATGAACTTTGTGTACAGTAGTCTTTTATACTGAATCTTTTTCAGAGCAAAGAAATTCTTACCTTTTTAATTCCTGTCATATCTGCAAAAGGATTTATTTGAAAGCATAATCTTGTTGATTGATGCCACAACTACGTCAAAAAGCATAAGTGACTTGTAGTTGAAAGGCGTTTTTGAAAAATGACACCCAATAGCGTGTTATTGGTGTGTATTGTTATTTTTGTTAATAATACAAAATATCGAGATGCAACTCAAAGATCTCTAATGCAAATTCATCAATAATGAAGAGTATAAAGAAGTTACTTACTTTCTATGAAATAAATGTTCCATAACCTATGAATAGTGATAAGTGTGACTGTCGCAGTATTTAGACACTCATTTTGGTCAACAAATTTTTGTCAAATCTCTGCATTGTTATTTTTCTCTAGCGGGCCAAAAGTTTGGACCCGTACAACATGATGCCCATAAAATAATTTGAAATTTTTTAACTGATCGTTAGAATGCAGTACATATGAAAATAATCAATTATTTCATATTTAACGTGTTCTAACGATCGTTAGCCATTTCAAATTATTTTATGCGTGGTTAAGTAATCAAAATATTAAAACTGCCAAGAAAAAGGTTGCAGTACTGCACTGTTTTCAGTTGCGTCTGAACTAAGCAATGTCAATTGCGAACTTATAATTTATTTAAAAGCAAACAGGAAACAGTATGATGTGATTAAAGGTTACGACATGCAAAGTTATATTGGAAAAATGAGGACACAAACTGTGTATATATACTGACTACCAGAAAAAAAACAAAAAACATTGACATGTGACTCACCGTGATCGTTAATCTATGACTCGCCTATTTTACACCGTTCATTTCTTCGTTTTATCATCGACTGTTTTTTGAAATAAGAACGTGTCAAGAACGTACCAAAATGTTGACTACCTAAATGAGGTCTCTGATTGTCTGTAAAATCTACTTATGAACTAATATCGGGTGGATCAGAGTGATCAAACTTTTCCAAAAACTTTCTATAGAAATAAGTTTGATCAAGTGTTGTAGAGAATTGACGGCACATCGTTTGGAAAAACAATCAGATCTAAGGATTGAAAAGAAAAAAAAATTATAAACAAAATAGGAGAAGAGTCATTTACTCTGAGACACCCGATAATGTTTATACAAATTATAACAAGGCGTCAACATCATCTTTCTTATCACACTGTTTATATTTTTCCTCAATTAATCTTATCATAGTATTACCGTTGATCACACTACCTGCTATAAGATTCAGTTGCCCTCAAGCATAATGAAAAACATTTTTTCCATCTTTTTCTAACTTATGAACTACGTGAGGGATATCGGAGTTTTATTAAAAAAACTTCTATTAAAAGGAAGTTTATTAAAATTTTTAATGAAATTCTTTTGCCATCACAAAATTTTTATGAAACTTCAGATCATAGTCACTTTTCAGGAGACATTTTAGTGAAAGTTCGATAAACAAAATATAAGTTAAAGACCGGAAATAGATGTATTTATAGATGTAAAAAAATATGTATGTATTGCTAAGTGATACATAAACGAAGTGAAACAGGTATCTTTTGCTAAGCGACACATATATACATAAATTAGATAAAATTTTTGTAGCATCAAAAATTTTTAATGAAAGTTCTAGTACTTCCATTAAAAAGCAAAATCGCTTTAATGAAAGTTTTTTTAATGAAGTCACTGAATCCCTACATGTATCTAACGTATGTAAGTTTTCATTCACAGCTTCACATCATTCAACTTGTAATGAATATATCCAATGACCGTGTATAAATTCTTTTTATTTAATTTACTTCTGGCATATGACACTATTCTATAACTAAATGAAAATACTATAAACCTTTATTCATTAAAATAGCCTGATGGTTAGTTAATAGCAAGACGTTTTCGATTTTTCAATAATTGTTTTCTAGTGCAATGGTAATGTGTAGATCTTGCAATAATTGACCGTAGTTTTTTATCATTTTTATTTTACTGTATCCTATGACTGATCATTTTTTGTAATATTCATACTAATATTACTAGCTAACTTAATAATAGTATTGTCAATATTTTCAAGTTTCATCATCAGTTATCGATAAGAACATGTTTTTCGAGAATCAGTACAACTGTAAAAGTTCAGATCACTGTCATTTATGATAAGCATGAATAAACACTAGCTATTTCTTCTTTTCTATAGGTTATATAAATAATTCTTGATACTTCACATTTGTTTTAATATCATCAATGTGTGTCATACTTCTTAATGAACAAGTATTGTCACATGTATAAAATGAAACTACAACAACAGCCCACATCCTGTTAGTTCAAGATTGAACGTAGTCACTGTGACAACATCATCGGTAATAAAATTCTGCTTTAGTTTATTCTTCTATAACTGATGTTTAGACCACTTCGTTTTTTTAATTTCCAGGGCCTAAAAACCCTCATCGAACTTCCTTCTCAAAATTTTGTTCTACTATTAGTATTAAATAAGAAAAAATCTTTTTTTTTAAATGAGATTTCTAGAATTCAATATCACCTCTTCACTAAAGCGACAGATTCTTTTCAAAACGAGTATTCATTCTTAAAGTTCTAATAAAACGATTCAAGTTCAGCTGTAAGACATGCTACTTTTCAAGAAAATAGTCACATAGAGCTCGTCAACATTTTGACGAAAAATACCTCCTTTTTTAAAACTAACGATGGAACAAAATCTTACACGAGAAATGGTGTACTAGTTTTCTGGTTCCCATGATCGGATCGATTTGCCGAAATTCAAGGACAAATGTTGTACCTATGGAAATATGAGAAGACGTTCGCCCTCCTGATTTTCTTTTCTTTTTTCTCTTATTTCAAATTTTCTTACACTTATCAAAATCTCAGAGCCACATGTATACAACGAGTCGCGTATATGAGAGAAGTTCATTCTCTCAAGCAAATCTCGACGAAAAAGCATTCTACGGAAAACAATCTTTGACACTATATTAGAAAATATCAAAAGAAAAAAAATTTCGCAGTTGCCTCAGTTATGTTTTTTGTGTTATATCAATAAGTTATATCCCTCCTGCTATGTTTTATAATCCATCGGCATTACATATCGAATGCACTAATTTGTCTCTTTTCATATTATTTTATTTTAATACTGAATGTATCCTGGAGATTCTTATTCTTATGTCTTAAATCTAAAAAGACACAGTTGATTCTGTAATTGGAACTTTTAAGAAAAGTTCGTTTATAAGGAAAAAAGATAAGTATAATTCTGTTTGTTTAATAATAGAGAAATCTAATACGAAATAAAGTCTTGGATTTGCTAATTTTAATCATGTCACTGTAGATAGTTCCAATTTTGATTAAGTAAATTTCAGATTATTAAACAAATAACTGATCACAAAATTTAAGCTTTATATTTTACATTGCAGTCAACAGTACATATTTCACTATTATTTTTAACACATATACACTTGCTAACAGGTATGATGGAATAGAAATTCGAACTTGACATTCAGAACGCGTCTTTTTCTCGTTTTCTCAGCGTTTCATCAGTTCTATGTGTCTCATACATATTAGTCATTTATACTGTTCTAAAAAGTTTGAAAATTCACATTTAGTCACTTTCCATCTTTTCATTTCTCTGATAAAAGTCTATCCATGTTCACTAATCTCTGAATGTCTCTATCTACGTTAGATCGTAGGAAATGACTCATGCTCTAAATTGTTTTTCTTTTCTCTTTCTACACGTTAACAGTTTTCATTTTTCTATGAATAATTCAATATTTGCCTGTTGGGTTTTACAGAAAAATGATTCTAATTTCTCTTCTTCTCTTGTATTCTCTGTATTTTCGCTTTAGAAAAAAATACTGCCATTAAACATAATAGTTTTTTCTCATTTATTTTTTATTTTTTTTTTTGAACAAAATCATCGTCATCGTTCTTCCACTACATTTAGAGCAAAAGAAACGTTTTATATTATTGGCTTCAATGTAACCCTAGGTATGAATGTAATGTAATATGAGTTTTATCTTGTCCTTTATAGTGAATATGTCGACTCGCCAGAAAATACTTATTAGAAATGATGTAATCATTAACATCAGTGACTTATGTTGATAGATGACTACAATGACACTTTCTCTTTTTTTTTTCTTTTAGTACTAAAAAAGCCCCAAGAGAAACAGGTTACATTCATTTTTCTTAACTAAATTATTTGTCAATAGACTAAAATTTTTATGATGTTATTATAAACAAGTATACATCGGTAAGACCATTTTGAATAGTACATTCTTTTGCTTTCCCTAGTAAGAATCCCCTAAGTTCTCTGATAGGATCCGAGACATATTCTACCAATAACCTACTAAGATTTCGCTTTAATTTTGTAGGAGCCTAAAACAAGAATTCTAATGGAATCGGTTATACTTGAAAGTGATAGATTTCCTAAGATTCTGTTAGGATCTTAAACAGACTTAAGCGAAATCCTAATAGGATCCTTCTAGGAAGTTATCATGTGGATCCTACATGTTTGGATCCTGTAAGATCACAGTACTAGGAACTTTCTAGTAGAAATAGATGGAAAGTGCGTAGGATTTTGCCCAGGATTAGCAAATACTCCATCCAATACACAAGCACCTTTCATTTTATTAAAATCAAAGTCCCCCCTCCCCCCCACATAATGAGAAGTAAAAAAAGCAACAGATATATCCCTTAAGTATTTTCTTATCTTTCAATGGAAATCGACTTTTTAAAAGTAATCATGATGTTGATTAAACATTTGATTTTCTGCCTAATTTTTAAATCGAGTTTTGAATCGAAGATCTCTAACAGCGTCTTTCAACAGAGCTACATTACAAAGAGTACCGAGTTTCCAATTTCAAAATTAATCAACAAGTTTCAAATGACAAGAGCTATTTATGTATTAAGAAAATGACTAAATATAGTGGTGTATTATTAAAAAAAAATGATTTGATGAAAATTAGTTTAGAAATTTTAGAGATCCTTTGATTCAAAGGTCGATTGAAATGAAGTAGTCAAGCAATAACCGGAAATCAAATGTCTAATCATGCATTACCTATAAAAACTGTGTGTTATTGAAAAAGTGAAGAGACACTAAGCAAATATATTTTGAAAGACGAAAAAGTGATATGATAATACAACAGCAAATGGAAATTATTGATTAAATTAAGTACAAAATACATCTTGAAGAATTTATCTGAATAATTATAAGAATATCTCTAGTTCGACCAAGTTCAGGACTGAAGATTTTGTTTCCTGCTATAATGAACTGTTTTTTTTTTTATTTATTCTGAGACAACTTCGTGACAAAATTTTGTTTAAAAAAAATAAATATGACAATTAACATAAATTATATAAAATAAGACGTGATTGTATAGGAGAAATAAGCCAAATATATAATTTATTTATAAATTACCCACTTAATATATATATATATAATAGAACGTTCTAACCGTACATCAAATTATCAAACATGCCGATTTTGACTCTTATTCATAAAATAAATAATTGTCATTAATTTAAAGAAAACAAAATGTTTTACTTCATGGAAATATTTGAATCAACGTCATTTTTCAAAAAATATCTCAAATTAATATAAAAGTCGTGGTGGAACGTTATTAGAAATCTTCGACCTTATACGAAGTTAATAATCCAATTCAAGAATCAGGTTGGAGGTGGGTGCAATTGTTATCGCGTCTGATCAAAGTCAAATTCACCTTTTTACGGTGTAGTTCAAAATACAGATAAAAGTTCCAATTTTGTATTATTCTGCATGTTTAAAGTAATTTGAAATATTTATTTTAAAATTGCATTCACAAATTCAATTAATTATTTCTCTCTTTTGTACACAAGAGAAATTCTTCTGCTTTACATCCCTTAAATGCTTTTTGTGTTGGATTGCGGTTATATTTTCTTAACTCATAACAAGATCTAGATGACAGTTGGTTGAGAAAACCTTTAGATCAAGTTCAGATGATTATCGATTGCTTACTATTTGATATACAGTACAGAATAAAACATTTAATTCGACTAGAAAAGACTATATAATTTTTAAATAAATCATGTTGCTATGTACTTTTGATTAAATATATATATCTGTTCATTATAAAAATATGATTTTCTCTTTTCATCATGTTTTTATTTGCTATTAAATTTTTCTCGAATGAAGAAACTAAATAAATTTTAAATAAAAAAATAGAAAATATAACAAGGACACTTAGATGAACTTGAATGAAATAAAGAGATAGAATAATGATATATACTGTTAGAAAAACAGAAAATAATCACATTATCTGTCATAAGGTTATTTATGTTGTCGTTCGATTTTTATCTACTAGACATTGGTTAATTTCTTTCGACCGCTGTTAAAATGTTGAAATTAAAACTTTGTAACGAATGTTATTGTGTGTTGTGATTGAATAGTTTGTAAAACAAGTATATAACAGAAGCAATGTTTAATACAACAATTTTATTACTCAAGAAATTCATTTATTGATGATGATACTATGTCACCTTTATGATTTTATTTGATATTACTACCAATATTTGTTGATTTTTACTAATATTAAAAGTGTCAAGAAATAATTTTTCTTTTTGATTGTAAAAAAAAGTCAATCATTTAATTGTGTATGCAGATGTTATATATATTTTATGCGTATGTATATATCTGATGAAATGTATGTCAAAACTTGAGACATATTCACATGCACATTTCATCTCATACTAATTTAATTTGTTGCATATCTGATTAGTGTTAATTTTAACACATTAGTCAAATTTGTAATAAACCAAATTAGAATGAGATGAGATGAGATATAAATGTGAACGTGATATATAGTCTCTTTGTTATCCGATTCTAACGTAACTAATACATACATAGTTTGTGATCAGAGTGCATGAACAGAAAGGAGAAGAAACTATGATGATCCATGACAAATATCATGTTGATTTATAGGAGATCACATACCTGCCCTTTTTCTATTTTTTTTTCTTCTCCTTTTTATATATTTATACGTTTTATTTTTCAACAGATCGGCTTAATTAAATAATATTACTTTGTGATTTAGAAGTACGAACAAATTTTATATTTTTGAAGTGTTCAGATAATATTGTGTAAAAAATAGTAAATGAATATTTTAGTATTATCGTCAAAGTTTAACATTGTACAATGTAGAGACGAAGAGGTATACATTGATAACGTTTTTGTTCAGAAAATCTCGTATAAGTATGTTATATTTAAAGAAAAAAAACAACCAAATACGCTGAAACACAACGTTTTCTTACAGGAATGAAGAGATAAAATTCTTAGCCAAAAGGACAACGAATTTAAACACGTTTTTTTTTTTTTGTAAGAGCAGCTTAAATGGTTTTACTACAATAAAGAAAAATCCCGTTAGTATTTGCTGTTTTTCCAATGTATTTCGAAGGATTTTACACCCAAACAGATTTGAATGTCTCTACTTTTTCCTTCAAAAGCTAAAGAAAAGGTTTGCATGCGACTTTTTGAAAAAAAGTAAGAAAGTAAGAAGAGATCTTAATAACTATCGAGCAACATTTAATTATTCTTGGCATGAATAGCTTTTACTCTAAGCTCTTTTCAAACGGCGGTTTCACCTTTGAAACATATACATCGACGAAGACGTAGCAATAAAATTTTCTTCATGATAACATTTAAAAAAACATAAAATTTGTTTTTTTATGGCTGACGATACATAAACAAAAGATCCAATTTCTAGAAGAGATACGTAGAGATGTCAATTCTTTTTAGACGATCGTTCGAAAGAGTAGAATTAAATCAGCCAAAAATAATTCAATGTCATTCGGGAATCATGGAAACAGTCTTCCATGCCTTTCTCATATAAATTTCCTGTTCTAAATTTAGCTGTTGATAAAAACATCTTAAAAAAAAACTTAGTTTGAATCATTCAAGTGAGACGTTCACTATTTTTAAATGATGATATATATATATACATATATAGTCACATAAATAAATGAACCTATACATAATCATTCCAACTATTTCACTTTTACAGTTTTTATTACGAGGTAAAGTCAATGAGTATGAGAAAAATCTAAATCAAAGATCAGTTTTTATGTACCTTATTATTTTATCAATTATGTGTCGATTATTTCTTCTATTTTGTTTTATTTTAGTTCATGGCAATGTTAACAACAGCTCGTTTGCCTCGTCGTGATTCAATGAAACATTTGAAACTATACGATTTAGATGATTTTGAAAAAAGCTCCTCATCCAATAATTTAGACGATGAAATTAAAATAAATTCTCGACATTCTTCTCGTAGTTCACCATCATCGGTAAATCATTTAATTTACAGATTATATCGAACAGAAATGTTAAATAACACAGACAACGACGATCATATATCCATGAACACAACAAAACAAGTTACATCGAAACAAGGACAAAAAACTACAAAACGATTGACGGATGCCCATGTTCAATCAGAAAATATGACAACAAATGAAACAAATCGATCGTATGAAACTCAGGAATATAAACAAAAGCAGACAGAAAAAAATGATGACAATGGAACAGATTTGGATGAAGTACATGTAAAAACAGACAGAAATTCGTTAAGTCACAATTCTAACTCAGAAGAGGATGATATTGGTACGTGGTTAGAACCTTTATCGAATGATAAAAAAGAGAAAAAGATTGATAATACAGAAAATCAAAATGAAATAAAACATGAATTCGTTTAGAATTATATGGTTATTAAGGGCAAGAAAATAGACTTTTTTGTTTTTACTTCTGTTTTTATTTTGTACATAAATCACTTTTTTATTCAGAAAAACACGCTTAAATATCATTAATTATAAGAGAAACAATAAAATATAAATATTTATGCTTTTTCGGTAAATGATAGAAAAATGTCTCGTTGTGAAGGATCCTTCAATATAAAACAAATTATTTTTCAGAAAAATAATTTTCACACGTAACATTGAGTAGTAGTCCACAAGAGTTGTTTAGTCAGATTAAACTTATACAGTAAAGGATGGGAAAAATCCTAGACAAGTTGACCTCTTCTTTAATTTTTTTTCTTTTATCGTAGATCAATAGAGAATTGAATTTTATATAAATCTACATAGTTTTTAAACTTTACATAAAAAAACTTTTGATGCAATAAGAATTATCATCCTTTTTCTGGTGGAGCTGATATTGTATTTTCGGTGGAAAAGGCGTACAAGGATTTTTTTCTACACAATCTGAAAGAGCTCGTCGAGTTGATCAAGAATAAGAGATTGGTTACAAAGCAAAAGAAGTGGCTTTTTAATTTAAATATTGTCTTCTTATCAGCATTCTATGCAGGAAAATCAATTTTTTCTCTCTGGCAGTGACAAATCATTTTAGTACTAGAATATGTATAAAAAGTTGATTGAAACTTTTAGATCAAGCAGATATAGTCATAACAATCCAAATAAGATGTAATAAAACAGCGCTGTTGAGAGTGTTCTGGCTTTTTCGTCTGAAATAAAACTTGGCACATACCTTCTAATGCGTAATCGATAGCCCGTAAAAAGTTCCTCAAGAATACGTATGGATGATTGATTTAAAAGTTTGCACTCATAAGGAAATCTAATAATTTCAGCAACACAACATTTCATCTTTTTTTTTGAATTTTTCGCTTGCGATTTCGATAATAAATTTTCATATTTGGCTTTCTTTTCTTTGCCAGTGTATTCACATTCCATCTCTATATGTTAATCCATTCATATATCATCAGTTTTCCTTTTTGAGCAGTAGTATAGGGTGTCATCTATTTGTTGATGACAGCATGGCCTGGTAGTTATGTTGTTCGTCATGTGCTTCAGAGGTATTGTATTCGAACCTCGGAACCAACAAATCGTGTAATAACCTTAGGCAAGTTAGTTATATCTTAGTGGCTCCAATCACCCGTCCGATAGTATACTCTCTACGTTGTGACGTACAATACAGTTCCTCTAATTAGTCTTGATGGCTTTTTAGAAAGCTACTACGTAGTTAATGAGTATGTATGAGGAGCGCAAGCAATTGAGCGAAAGAACTCTGTAGTCCGAAAATATCGGACTATAGAAACTGAACTTGTCAGCACTCTACACGGGCAACGGTAGCCGCAAGGCGGGGTATTGTTCCTTGTTCTTGTTTGTTGTATTCATTCTATTTCCATTAGTTTCCACTAAGATAGTCATACGAAAAACCGCAGAAAACTATAGATAAAATTGAAAATGAATAACACGGATAGAAAAAATATTCGTGTTCAACTGTGTACTTTGCATATATTTGCGAAAAGAAACCGTATGTGAAATAATGTGTCATTAAAACACTGAGCGTACTGTCTGTCTAATAATTAAATAGAGCTAACCATTTTTTGAATAACTCGAGAACGAAGAATAATAAGAACTTGCGGTTTTTACTATTAGATAGCCAAAACGTTAAACCATCTTTTCATAATTAAAATGACATGGTTTTTTAGGAGATCTCCAGCAAACAATTTCATGACTGTTTTATGAAAATTGGAATTTCTAAGCTGTTTCTATCACAGGTTAAAAATTCCTAATTTACTTCAGAAGCATCAGAGCGAGTTGAAAACTTCAAGATATGGTAAATTTTATCCGCTACACGTAATTATGCGATCGCATAAATTGAGTAACGATTTTATTGTTCAACGGTTTTCTAGAACTGTGCAAATACAGTGAAAAAATGTCTTTTTAAAACTCTTTTCAGTTGCATTCGCTAAACAGTATAAAAATTAAATAATTCGCATTCCGCTATCCATTCAGTCCGAATTCCATTCTCTTTTCATACTTTTTTCTAATCCAAACTAATCTTTGTAGTTGTCACATACTTTTCATCAGATAATTAGAAATAGATGTTCGATACTTTAGTGTCTGATTTGCTTCCCTAATTAGGGATTTATGATTCATAGCATATATGTGAATGTGTCGACAAGTTAGGAATTTTAATAATTTTGGCTTAATTAGTCGACCAATCGGGACTGAATTTTATGTATTCATAGTCGAAACAGAGAGAAGTAATGATAAAAAAATTCTTAGAATGACCAATCTAATGTATGTTGATTATTTTTGTATAATTTATTCCACTCAATGAATAATTTTTAGAAAAAATCGATCTTTCGTCCTCTACATTGTTGTGGTTGCTAAGACACGTGTAAAAAAAACAATTAAGTTTTATTATTATACTATTTGGCGTAATTGCACATTGGTATAGAAATTTTCTCTCAATATTTACGTATATCTGTTCAAGTCAGAATGACATGGCGAATCTGTTGCATCGTATTTATGTTGTTTGATTAACAAATGTCATACTTTTGTCAAAAGGAAAATGTATACGTAAAATACCAATCAATAAGGAAATATTTTGATTACAAAAATATACATCAATGCATTTCATGTCAAATTTATTGTTGTTTTGTTTACGTGCCATGGACATATACACGTACAACAAAATTCGTTAATCAGCTAATTAACAAAATCAAGTTTTTGAAACGAAATTTTTTTCTTGATTATTTTCTTTCTTAGAAGATAATCTTAATATCTTGTCTTTAATTTTTGAGACTAACCAATGTTATATACCATCTTTTCTACACATATATGATAACCAATTAGAAATAATGAAATCAACAGCCATCTTAAATTTCTTATGTGCAATGATTGCAATTTTCTAGTCGAAAATGTAATAATTCATAAAAATAGTGTGTACGGATTTGTACTGAGTAATGCTATCAATCAACATAAAACTTTAACCCGTTTATTTTCGCGTAAACTAATTTATGTTGATGTTTATCCCTATAGATTTAATGGGCTTACTCTCAAAAGAGATAATAGTTCTTTGTGACTCACTCTCATATACGCCGCCGCCACCGCCGCATCCGCTTCTGATGTTATTATCTCTTTTAAGGATAAGCGATTTAATGAGATGATTTTTGTCTTCGTTTATCTAATTATTAGATTATTCAAACAACGTTATTAATATGTATGAAGATTGTCAAGAGATTTTTCATCTTTTTACTGGTATTAAAAAAGGGATGTGTTTTTATTTTATGATCAGCTTTGTAACCGCAGAAAATTCAGGTCATTTAAACTTATCAATGTGTATATTATTATGGTTGGATGTTATCTCAGAAAATTTTCTTGTATCTAAAAAAAGAGCTGTAAATTGGATGAAGTAACGATATGGAAAAAACATAAGCATTGAAGAAAAATAATTTATTGGAAATAATTGGATGACACTTGCAACTATGATTTCATGTAAAAAGATGTTGATTTGTATTCTGATGATAGGTATGAGTCTCTCATTTTTATATGAAAACATAACTACAATTATCCTTGATTTTTAGTAACTATCCAGTAGTTGAAAGAAAATTAAATTCTTTATTAAAAACTTGATATTTCAAATGTATGCTGCATATATCGATTGTTCTTTCATACATAAGAAAATTGAATGTGAGATTAGAACGATGAAAGAAAGATAATCTAACTGATTTATTCCATGTTCTTATTGTATTTCATTGTATATTTTGAAAAAAAAAGAAACTAAAAGCTTTTGTATAAAAAAAAACATGAACAAAATAAATAGACAAAACAAAAGATAAAAGAAATATTCTCATTAAATTTGATGAATTTACAATCTAAGTTACTTAGATCCAGCCTAGTATACTCAGATGTTAATAAAATTCTATCAGTCTTTTTTTGTAAACAAGAAAAGTAGAAAAACAAGAAAAAATGCATAATGTTTCAATGAAAATAATGTATTACGATGTAAAGGTGGCGTACTTAGGATAGGATAAATCTTAAATTTTGTTTAGAAAGTTCATTATTTTTACTTATTTGCCAAGCTTTCTTAAGTAGGACAAACTTGTACCACATTGTTAAAAAAAAAACCTTTCATTTTCTGTACAGTGACTTTTGACCAGTATTTATCACATTTTCCACTAAACCTTTTATTCTGATACTTTAATAATGAGATGCTAGAACCCTTGATATCCAAGGTACGATAATAGAGGGATTCAGGAAAAGTAAGAGACAGAAAACAAAAGACAAAAACTTTTTACTCCCAGTATACGTTTGCAATATCGATAACAATTCTCTTTTCACACTGTATATTCTGAAATCAGTATCGTCTCCCTTGCCTAGTAAGGTGTCTATCATTGATCTGTAATGCAAGGCAAATAAGTAGCTAACAATTTCTACTGAAGATGTAAAATGAACAAGGTTGAGCTACGAAGAGTAGAAAAAGCGATATTAGAAGTACATGTTCACCGTATAAAATTATTTTTTGTTGAACAATTGACTTTTTTCTTTGATACTTTTGACTGCTTGCATATCGTCTTTTTTTAAATCATTTTTTATATTTCCATTACTAACAGCATCATGTGTCGGCACTGTTCGTTTCACTGTCGATGTTGTAATAGTAGAAGGTTCGGTGGAGGTTGATCCAGCCCCTGCATAACTGTCTCGTCTCATTTTGACGAGACCTTGTGTTGTTGCACTAATGAATGCTGTAGATGGCATCTCTTTTTTCGCAACAGACGCTTGTTGATTGACTGACGTGCGTTTGACCTTTTTTTCATGATCAGTAGATGTTGACGTTGCAGTATCTACATTAGAGGCTTTTGGTTGTTTCTGAATAGACTCACTTTTTGATAGTTGTCTTGAAGGTGGCATTCGTTCATTGACTTTATCTAATATCTTTGCTTTTGAAA